AACGGTACAGCAAATGTTTTTCTTTTCATATTAATTTAATGAAACGTCACAGCTTTCGCGCTTCGCGCAGAAGAGGGGGGAAAAACCTCATTTAGACGAGTCGAGAACGGTACAACGAATCGTCTTCTTTCTCTAATATTTTAAGGAAACGTCAAAGCTTTCGCGCTAAAGGAGGAAACTGAATTCAGACAATATGGCTTATTAAGAGTCGAAAACGGTACAACAAATATTCTTCTTTCTCTAATAATTTAATGAAACGTCAAAACTTCCGCGCTTTGCGCGGAGGGGGAAGCTTCATTCAGACAAGGATTAAGAGTCGAGCACGGTTCAACGAATCGTCTACTTTCTCTAATAATTTAATGAAACGTCAAAGCTTCCGCGCTTCGCGCGAGAGAAGGAAACTGAATTCAGATGAATAGGGAGTAATAAGAGTCGAAAACGGTACGACGAATCGTCTTCCTTTCTCTATATTATGATGAAACGCCAAAAATTCCGCGCTTCGCGCGAAGGGAGAAAACTTCAATTAGACGAGTCGAGAACGGTACAACGAATCGTCTACTTTCTCTAATAATTAAATGAAACGCCAAAACTTCCGCGCTTCGCGCGGGAGGGGGACAAACTGAATTCAGACAAGGATTAACAGTATAGAGAACGGTACATCAAATCGTCTTCTTTTCATAATAATTTAATGAAACGTCAAAGCTTTCGCGCTTCGAGCGGGTGGGGGGGGGAACTTCATTTAGACAAGGATTAACAGTCGATAAAGGTACAATAAATCGTCTTCTTTTCCTAGTAGTAATAATTTAGATGCCTATCACCCACACCCCCTAATGAGCGCTCTTTAAGTGATTCGCTTGCTCACTACCGCCCTACCTAAAATAAGATCCTAGCTCCGCGCCTGCATTAAAATAAAGCAGCTATGATGCTGACTAAGTTGACGAAATAATTCGTATATTTATGTCGTCAAGGAAAATGACCATTTGCGCATAATTATGCAAGTACTATAGATAGTCCATAGGAAAAACAATTTAGCCTTCGGCCCCGGGTTAATAGGGTTAAGTTTGTAGATATTGGACATTTAATTTTGTCGGTAATTGGTCGCTAGTTTTGTCGGTAATCGTTGGCCTCTACACCCCCCCCCCCCCACTGAAAAAGGTCTAGCGACGCCCCTGCGTATAGTGCCCTTCAAAGCTTATTTTGATCCCTTCCCTGTTGTTTTCTAGTACTTCATGATGACCTAGTACATTGTATAATGCTTTACTTGCAGATGGTTTACCTAGTAAGATGCATGTGCTTGCTTGCATTGAGGTCATTTCAGGTCTTACATATTGATGAGCTGTTTGGAATTAACTAGGAGGTAAGCACGTATTGGGGAATGTGGCTTGCTGTTTTGCTTTTTTTATAAAACTTCCCATGACATGTAATGAGTGTTTAGTGTACATTATATGGGACGTACAGTGATAGATGGAAAGTTATTTCAGTATATTCGAAATGACTTTTAGGTAACTCCTTTTTCCTCCCTCATCATCAACATTCATTCATTTCATTTCATCTACATTATTTCATGAAATGCATTCAGAAAATGAAGAAAAAAAAAAACGAAAATAACCCGTGAAATAAATATATTGTCGGCGAAGCATTTGTCGTAGTACTAATAGCATTTGTATTTTATGGGACACTTTTGGGGCGGAGCAAATGTCGTCGGAGCAAATGTCACCGGAGCAAGTGTCGCTTCATGCGGAGCAAATGATGTAGGAGCAATTGTCGGCGGAGCATCTGTCGGCGGAGCAAATGTCGGCAGAGCAAATGTCGGCGGAGCATTTGACCTCGGAGCAAATGTCGCGGAGCAAATGTCGCGAAGCAATTGTCGCGTTTTGCAGGGTAAAGGTCGGCGGAGCAATCGTCGGCGGAGCATGTGTCATGGAACCGCTTTGGGGGCACATACATGTAATCGATCGACGTCCTGGGGAGGGGTCTAAAAAAGTTCAACCGATCTTGGAAATTTTTGGGGGGCACGTGCCCCCCCCCCCCCCCCCCGTGGCTACGTGCCTGTGACGCAGACCCCAAAGAATCTTTCAATTTAGTTCCCTCTAGACTCTAGAGCTTCCCACTTGTTGATAGACATTTATTTTATTGAGGAGATGACGCAAATTTGAGGGGAGGGGTAAGAAATGGGGATTAGAGAGGGAGAGGGGGTTGAAAGATTATTGACCGAGACAGAGGGAGAAAAGGAGAAAAGGTAATAAGTAAAGCTACGGTCACAAAGGTTCGTACGAACGATAATTTCGTACAAATTTTCCTGTTTTTCCATTGTCTTCCTGGATTTCCATTGTCTGAAAATCGTTCGTACGGCGTTCGTAGCAGATCGTAATGGCTTTTGTAACCGAGGCATAACATGGGCCATAACATAGGGGTGAAAAATTGGAGAGAGAGAGAGGGGAAAAGAGAGGGAGAGAGCCAGAGACAGACAGAGACAGACATACATACAGAGAGAGAGAGAGAGAGAGAAAGAATGAGAGAGACATGCATAGAGATATAGAGAGAGACATACATAAAGAGGGAGAGAGAGAGAGAGAGAGAGAGAATGAGAGCGAGAATGAGGGAGACATGCACACATAGACATAGAGAGAGAGAGAGACATACATACAGAGGGAGAGAGAGAGAGAGAGAATGAGAGCGGTAATAGCAGGAACATTAATAGGGACTTTTAGATTTACACGGCGAGAACGTGGACCGCCACGTGTGACATCCTTTTAAGGTAATGTGACGTCCTTTTAAGGCACTGCCGGGCACGGCCCAGTGCCTTAACACAATGTCACATGCGGCAGTCCACGCTCTCGTCGTGTAAATCTAAAAGTCCCTAATAGTTGACAAGATTTCAGGATTTTTTGAGGGGGTGTCAGCGGCGAGAGAGCGGACCGACAAATCGGTGGTGGGTCCGTAGCCAGAGTGTGATGTTTGGGGGGGGGGGCACATACATGTAATCGATCGACGTCCTGGGGAGGGGTCTAAAAAATTTCAACCGATCTTGGATCTCCCCCCCCCCCCCCCCCCCCTGTGGCTACTTGCCTGCGAGAGAGCGGACCGACAAATGGGTGGTGGGTCTGCATTGGGAGGGGGTCAGAACCCCCTCCGTGAGTATATAGGGAGCACTTGCAATTTTAGAACCATATTAGGCGCATTTTCATGCACTTCCTGGAGTAATATGACGTAAAATTGCTTTCTCCCCCCTCCAAGAGTAGGGATCTTTTGCAATTTGAGAACCACATTCGGCGCATTAATGTCCACCGGCACTTCCTGGAAAAAAACGAGGCCTTCTGATTGGTTAGAAGTTAGAGAAAAGTGATCCGTCACGTCGCGAGACGTTGTATATGCTTCGTTGCTGCACCGATTACCGACAAAACATGCCACCAAGTAACGACAAATTTATTAATGCCAATGTCTACAAATTTAACCCTATAAACCCGGGGCCAGGTACTAAGATATTTTTCAATCCCCCCCCCCCCCCTTCATTAAATTATTAGAGAAAGAAGACGATTCGTTGTACCGTTCCCGACTCTTACTTCTTGTCTAAATTCAGTTTCCCCCATCCGCGGAAGCTTTGACCTTTCATTAAATTATTAGAGAAAGAAAACGAGTCGTTGTACGGACTCTCAATCATTGTCTGAATTTTCAAAAAAAGTTTCCTTGTCCGATAAAAAGTCACAGTTCGTAGGGAGAAAAAAAATTGCCGACGGACCCGACACAGCAAAAAAATATCTATGCGTATCTTTCTTGCCCCCTCGATGTGGTGACTCCACCCAACATCCCCCTCTCACTCTTATTCCCAACCCTCTTCTCTCAGGCTTTACCAGGGGCGGATCAGGCCGGCGGCAGGGGAGGGGGCCCAATCCGTGAGAAAATATTTAGCGGCGAAATAGCCGACCGATAATTCGCAGTGGCGGGGGGGGGGTAGTGAGCACTTTTTTCTTTTGCTCTCGAAAATTTGAAGAAAAAAAAGGTTTAAAAAAAAAAAGGTAAAATTAACGTGTTTTTACACGTTTTTTTCTCCCTGGATCCGCCACTGGGCTTTACCCCCTTCTCTCTCTCTATTCTCTTTCATCCCCCGTTTCTTTTGTTTCCCTCTTCTCTTCTCTTCTCTTTCCTTTCTTTTCCTTTTCTTTTTTCCGTCCCTGTTCCTCTCATTTTCCTCTCCCCCTTTTCTCATTTTTTCCCCGACAGCAGCGCAATTTTTTCGACAATATCCTGACAGGTGGGGGGGGGGTGTCGCACCCCCATACCCCGCTTTCAGCGACGCCTGTGGTTGTTATCCCATTATTCTTTTAAAAGAAACGCAACTCATCATGCTCTCGTACCTCTCTTCTATCGTGTTTTGTTTCCCTTTCATTTTTGTTCCCTTCTCCTTTAACTCACAACAATTCTCTCTTTCCCCATTTTTTCCATCTCTTATTTGTTGGTTCTTTTTTTTTGGGGGGGGGCTACACGCCTGGCAAGAGGGACCCCATATTATGCACACTGCAAACTTGCGTGCCCCGGCCCCTTTCCCGGTAAAAACACCTTCTTATAATATCATCCCCCTTTCATTCTTTTCCCCTTTTCATTTTTCTCCTTTTCCCTCTTTTCTCTCCTCCGTTTTCCCCCTTTCTTTCTTTTCCGCCTTTTCTCCTCTCTCTCTCTTCCCCTTTCTTTCTTTCCCCCTTTCTTTCTTTCCCCCTCCTTTTTCTATTTTCCCCCTTTTGTCTCCCTCTTTTCTTCTTCTTTCTCTCTTCCCTTTTTTTTTACCGGGAGGGGGGGGGGGGCAAATGCCCCCTGTGCCCCTCCTGAATCCGGCACTGAGAATAGTTTCTCCCTTTCACTACCTACCTGTCTCCATTCCCCTCCCCTCTCCCTAAACATTCGAATCCCCCCTCGTTCAGTCATCCTCGACACTCCTTGCGTACTTAACCACTTCAATTTTGATCAGTATATCTTTTATGTAAGAAAATGATCGCACAAGAACATCGAAATTCCCGCCACATTTATTCTTTAATTCTAAGAAGCTGATATATGCTTCATCATAGTCAATTATCAACAAATACGTCATTTTAAATTAATGAAAAATAAAATTTCGCATTCGAGTATAAGAAAGGCTTATAATTTTGTTGTATAACTAATTTCTCTACTGTTAAACTAGTACACAGTCAATATAATTATAAGCAATTCATTTTTTGACGTAACTTTTACATCGAGCTGTGAAAAGAAAAAAATGAATCCAACAAAGAAGACCGACAATTAATTATCAATGGTAAGGATCATTAGCCAACTTCGTAATGTAATTATACCTAATTATGCATTCGTCCAGAGCCATATCTAGGTATTTTGACGCCCGAAACAACACTGAATTTGGGCCCCTGCCTACTACTTGTATATCTCCTTAAATTTACAAGAGAGGGAGCAAAGCAAATGAGCGGTAGATTTTCTGCATTTCAACCGGCCCTCACAAATCCATTTTCAAATAGAAACTTACCAAGAAAGAGATTTACAAAGAGCACTGCCATCGAGCAAAAAGTGATAGCAAAATGTATTGGTACTATAGCCTTGAATTTAACAGTGCATTGCATTAATGGTGCATGCATGAGCGAATAAATTGCATACGCTCGATTAGCATAGGTATAGTTAGGGGCAAAAAGCACTACCTCTTTTTAACACAAAATACACTGGTCGCCCATGTCAGGCGAGTGATTATGCAGTGCATGAAGGCACACTTGGTTCATTTCATAAAGTTGAGAAAGCAAAAACAGTTTCCTACCTAGAAGGATCAATTATTACTCTCGAAACAATTAATGCATAAATTATTAGTTTAAAAGCCAAAATAGCCAATTAAGCCCTTACTTTTCAATTATATTGAAGGCAATTCTTATATACAATCTCATGATACCATTTCATACAAGAATGCTCTTCTAAAAATAGGCTTATAGAGAATACAAAATGAAATAAATAATAAATCGTCACCACAAGTTATAGAATGCAAGTCTATATAAAGACATAAAAAGTGTTATTTGATAAACATTAAAGTTTTCAGATATCGTTGTTAGTTTCAATAAACCAAAAAAGTTATCAGTTCCGATTTGACCACAGTCGTGATTGTTGTCAGCCCAGGGACAGACTAAATGAGACATTCTAAAAATCTGCATGGTGTTGTGTAAACGTACTTCAAGGAGCTTGACCATGTTTTTATATTGTGCATGACTGTGACAACACTCATACACCAGAAAGTTGTATATTGTGAAATTTTGGTATCACAATTTGAAATAGGCCTCTCTTTTAGAAGTCTATACTTAAAGCTGATTAATTTTGAATAGCATGATAGGGGGGGGTGGGTACATGTCCAGACACTTAACAAACATAAAGACTTCTCTTATGAAATACTGCTTATAAACTTCTTCAAATGTCTGTTTTCAGGATACACAACAAGTCCGGACACACAACGTCTGGGTTTTTATTGTGAAATTTTGGTATAACGATTTGCAAGAACTCTCTTCTTAGAAGTCTATATTTAAAGTTGATTAATATTTTATAGTACAGGATAATAATAATAATAATAATAATGTCAACTTATAAAGCGCACATATCCATTCTAAAAGACTGCCCAAGGCGATCTTGTACAACAACAAAAAATAATTATACAATATTAAAACTACGACATAAACAAATGGTGCTTAAGTTTCTTCTTAAATATTTCAATTGATGATGATTGTCTTGTTTCTAATGGTAAAGTGTTCCATAGTTTGGGTGCAACGTTAGCAAAAGCCCTGTCCCGGCCCCCATTTGTTATTGGTTTTGGGTGTACATAACTGGAGCTGTGAACCTGAACGTAAATTCCGTTGTGGGTGTACGGTTTCAAAATCTAATACAAGTCATGGGATGAAGAATGAAGAAGTGTTTTGTAAGTAATGAGTAACAGCTTATACATAATTCTTTTTGGATGTTATGACCGAATCACAAACATCAAAATTAAAAATTGGTGATAGGTTCCCTCTAAGGTCGTCTTGGTTGCTAAAAGCTTTAGAAGGCCTTGTTGAATTCAGCCGATTCATTACCCTGGGCAACGACAGAGATGGGCAACCAAGGTGCCTTAGTCTTGTTCAGGTAATTCTGTTGAGAGGAAATATAAGAAATGATGGCATGATGATACATGTCATACACAAAAGTTGAATTGAATTAAATTAAATTGATAAGGTTTATTGTGAATAATTAGAGATAACTGCTAGAAGCTCGCACATCTTGAATTAACAGCAGACCTGTGTCCCCTTTTTCTTTAAAAATGAGGGCCCCTTTTCATTTTTTTTCAACCCTCTTCTTTAATTTTGTAATTCTTCTTTTCCTCCTTTTATTTTTGTTCATTTTTTCTGTTTCTTTGTTTCTTTTTTGATTTTCAGATATATATTTTCCGAATTGTACTCCCTTAAAATCCTGGATCCACCATATAGAAGATGGTAACTTACGCTTGCGTAGGATAGAGCATTCTTCCTTTCGTCAATGGAGGCTCCTTTGCCGACCCAACAGTAGACGTGTTCTCCATTGTTAATCACATAGACATCCTGTAGTAGTCAAGATTGATTGAAACAATGTGCAATGGCATATGTTAGGAACTTACAGTAAGAACTAAATTATTCATAATCATAATTTTATTTATTTTCTATATATTTTTGTTAACGTTTTTTTTTAAAGCAACTGAAAGCCGCCTCGGATGATATGCAATTTTGGGGCATAAATGCATGTATCCATACCACAAGACAGGTTTTAATAGTGGATATCTGAAATCAACTCCTGCAGGGTCAATCATCAAGTCTTACATCATCTTACCATGCATACAGATAAATGCATGCCCAAAGCCTCCCTCTTCAATAAAAATAACAAAACACTGACGACATCTTGACATTTTTTTCATGAGCGGCTGTGCTGTGTACTTACATCGGATGTCAATTTATCCTTGCTGATTTCACCCTCCACTGTTTCCATGTCCAAACTGCCGTCAGCATCACTGATCCTGTAACAAAATGTGAATCAGGGCGATCAGAACAAAGTGTTCAAGAAAGGTCAGGTAAACTTAATGCAAATAATTTTCAATGATGGTCTTTGAATAAGGTTAATCTTTTTACATGTACATTTGTGAAAATATCCCCATACAATGAGACAATGACTGAGTGTCGATTGTTGGCTTTTTCAGGACTCTCATCTTGTATTAAAAAGTGTCATGTCGGGTTTCTTGTAAATTTCCTGTAGGTTCTTCAGAAAGTGTTGGGTAAACTGGACCCAACACTTTGGTGATAAGAGGGATGTATTTAACAAACGTTACACCCGACCCTTCGGGCTTTAAATTATTCACAAAAGTTTGTGTAAGCAGCGCGCGAATTAGACGCGAAGATCCGATGGAACAATAAGCCCCAACAATACTATCACAACAACCACCAACATTTAACACAATTACCTCTTCAAAACCAAAATCATGGGTGTGTTTCATGAAACCGTGATTCTCTGACATCCCGTTGTAATGCTATTTAATTATCACACATTTCACTGGGATATCATCAAACTTGTGCTTGATGACGTTTTTGTGAAACAATTAATGCCCAGCCATCGATCTTACCTGAACATTTCCCGATCCCCCTTCACTGCACTTGTCTTAGCCTTACTCTCGCCCTCTTTAAGGGGTTTGTAGAAAGGATGATCTTGGGAGGTGCTGCTCTCTTCGAGGGATTGTGTACTGCACTTGCCTCGACTCTTGATCTTAGCTACCTCCTGAGCGGCCTGAAACATCAAAATAATAGGAGCATGAATGGCATAGCTAGTTGAGACTGATAGTTACGACACCGGAGTTTATTCCATGTTGGTTACCGGTAGTCATTTCATGGAGAGTCAAACATTTCTCTCCCATAGAGATTGTACATGAGAATAAAGGAACAATCGGAAAGTCCATTATGATCTATCAAAGATTTCTCTCCCATAAATGATAGAGATTACATGAGAATTAAGGAACAATCGGAAAGTCCATGATCTAACCCAAGACTACTAGACGGTGATATCCAGTACATGTTACCCAGATAGCAAAGTATCTGGGGCCCATATGGGAATCATGTGGGCCTACTGGGGCCCATATGTACCATGTAAAACCCATATGTGGCCCATATGGTTTGTCCCACCTAGAACGCAGATAATAAAAACCATATGGGCCCCATGTGGTATCTATATGGGCGATGTGGTCTTATTTCAGGGTCGACTGAGCCCAGATAGAAACATATAAAACCCATATGGGGCCCATATGGGTTTTCCCACCTAGAACCCACATAATAAAACCATATGGGCCCCATGTGGTATCTATATGGGCGAAGTGGCATAATTATGTATCGACTGAGCCCAGATAGAAACATATAAAACCCATATGGGGCCCATATGGGTTTTCCCACCGAGAACCCAGATAATAAAACCATATGGGCCCCATGTGGTATCTATATGGGCGAAGTGGCATAATTATGGATCGACTGAGCCCAGATAGAAACATATAAAACCGATATGGGGCCCATATGGGTTTTCCCACCTAGAACCCAGATAATAAAACCATATGGGCCCCATGTGGTATCTATATGGGCGAAGTGGCATAATTATGGATCGACTGAGCCCAGATAGAAACATATAAAACCCATATGGGGCCCATATGGGTTTTCCCACCTAGAACCCAGATAATAAAACCATATGGGCCCCATGTGGTATCTATATGGGCGAAGTGGCATAATTATGGATCGACTGAGCCCAGATAGAAACATATAAAACCCATATGGGGCCTATATGGGTTTTCCCACCTAGAACCCAGATAATAAAACCATATGGGCCCCATGTGGTATCTATATGGGCGAAGTGGCATAATTATGGATCGACTGAGCCCAGATAGAAACATATAAAACCCATATGGGGCCCATATGGGTTTTCCCACCTAGGACCCACATAATAAAACCATATGGGCCCCATGTGGTATCTATATGGGCGAAGTGGCATAATTATGGATCGACTGAGCCCAGATAGAAACATATAAAACCCATATGGGCCCATATGGGTTTTCCCACCTAGAACCCACATAATAAAACCATATGGGCCCCATGTGGTATCTATATGGGCGAAGTGGCATAATTATGGATCGACTGAGCCCAGATAGAAACATATAAAACCCATATGGGGCCCAGATGGGCCTTCCCACCCAGAACCCACGCATATGGGCCCCATGTCGGCCCCATGTGGGTTTTTGGTGGTGAAAATCGCACGTCGAGCATTGGCTGGGCCCAGCTAAAAACCAGGTGTATACCAGATGGGCCTTCCCACCCAGAACCCACAACTACCGATACATATGGGCCCCATATGGGCCCCATGTGGGTTTTTGGTGGTAAAAATCGCACGTCGAACATTGTCTTCACCCAGCTGAAAACCAGATGTATACCAGATGGGCCTTCCCACAAAGAACCCACAGGTATACGGATCCCAAGTGGCCCATATAAAAACCAGATGTATACCAGATGGGCCTTCCCACCCAGAACCCACAACTACCGACACATATGGGCCCCATATGGGCCCCATGTGGGTTTTTGGTGGTGAAAATTGCACGTCGAACATTGTCTTCACCCAGCTGAAAACCAGATGTATACCAGATGGGCCTTCCCACAAAGAACCCACAGGTATACGGATCCCACGTGGCCCATATAAAAACCAGATGTATACCAGATGGGCCTTCCCATCCAGAACCCACAAGTACCAACACATATGGGCCCCATGTGGGCCCCATGTGGGTTTTTTGGTGGTGAAAGTTGCACATCGAGCATCGGCCGGGCCCAGCTAAAAAACAGATGTATACCAGATGGGCCTTCCCACCCAAAACCCACAAATAACCCCCTAATTTGCATAATGAATATGGGGTGCGTGTACATCTATGTTTTTTTACAATTTATCTGAATTTACAGGATATTTCCTAATTACTGATGATTTAGTTATATGCAATTCATTTCGAAAATACTACAAAATGTAAATTGCTAATTATTAGGACATTTCACTACTTTGTATAAATTACATTTAATTAAACATGAATTAAAAAAACACTAACTGTGAACTAAAACAGATTCAATAAATTACAAGTATATGGAAATGTCTCATCTCAACAAATTAACCAAGTCTTCTTAATACCAATGCCTTTACATTGGAAATTTTAGACGATGTGTTGTTGCCATTGGCAAAATTAATTAGTACAAGTGTTACATAACGTACTAATTATATCTGCTAATTGGGGCTTTCAACTGTTTGAAAGTTGTGCCAAATGGTACGACTGGTCCAGTTAAACCCAACTGGTAACCCTGGAAATTAAAATGGGATAAATGAATTCAACTGGGTAAAAATAGAACCCATTTAAACAATATGAAGCCCATTTAGAACTACATTGGCCCATATGGGACCATATCAAACCCACTTGGCCCATATGGATCCCATATAAAAACCCGCTTATAGCCCAAATGGGCCCCATATGGTTTACATGGGTACGATGTGGGCCTGCCCATATTTACCCCACGCGAAACCCTGGCCCATATGGGCCCCAGACGGGGTGTACGGTGCAAAAAACACATGGGTCCCAGATGGGCCAAGTGGGGCCATACATAGCCCACATGGGCAACCCATATGGGGCCCATATGGGAGCAATGTGGGCCTGCCCATATTCAACCCACACTAAACCCACTTGGCCCAAATGGGCCCCACATAGGGTGTACATATGGGTCCCAGATTGGCCAAGTGGGGCCCATATGGGCCCATACATAGCCCAAATGGGCCACATATGGTTTACATGGGTACGATGTGGGCCTGCCCATATTTACCCCACGTGTAACCCTGGCCCATATGGGCCCCAGACGGGGTGTACGGTGCAAAAAACACAAGGGGCCCAGATGGGCCCATATGGGCCCATACATAGCCCACATGGGCAACCCATATGGGGCCCACATTTTAGCCCAGATAAGCCCACAAGTAACCCATATGGGCCCCAGATACTTTGCTATCTGGGTAGCCGTAGCTAGATGAGAGAAAGTTACATCATCGGAAGTTGGTTCTGACTGCATGGTAACTAATTTCACCCAGCCCTAAGTGGTTTCCTGCAAATTGTATTATGGAGCTAGGGAACAATGTGAAGCTTCATGATTTAACCTATAACTATCTACCCTCTACATGTGCACTGTGTGTTACAACTAGACCCTATAACTATAGCTACCCTCTACATGTGCATTGTGTGTTACAACTAGACACTATGTCTCTCTCTCTCTCTCAATACGCTATCAAATCTTGTCAACATTTTATTTTTAAAGACAGATCGAATCACCCTTATGAGCTTGGCCGGGAAGAAGGTTGATATAAAATCTCAAATTATTACCTTAAATTTTTCATCATGACTGCAGCTGGCACCGTTCCACTGGTAAATCATCGCTCCAAGATCCAAGATGAAGACATCACCAGACTTCAGATTACCTTTCTTCAGAGAGACCTGAATAATGGACAAAATAATAATAATAATAATAATAGTGGGTTCTTGTATAGCGCTCATGTCTGTCAGATTTGACACTCCCTGGCGCTCCACATGCAGTTACTACCCGGCTTAAACATGGCTACCATAATAGGGCACGAAATCATTCCAAGGAATTCCTGCCAGGTACCATTTTACTTCACCTGGGTGGAGTGTGGCACTATCGTAGATGAATGTATAGCTAAAGGACATTAGTGTCGTTATTTTTTTTGTTAGAACACTATTATCCAGGAAAGGAGGTACAGTTTGACTTGCAGGCCTTGATATTACTCCTTCTGTCTGTAACACAGATCTGTAGTGTCCGTAACACTGGCTCCTACTCTTTTCTACCCTCGATATTGAAACTAAAACACAATGATGCATTTAATTTTATACTTTATTACATCTAACTAATATTGTTGAAATAAAATATTTTTTAACCGCGAACCATGTGATCCACAGTACGTCACCGCGGTGACGTATCCACTAGACCACAACACCTCCACGTAAATACAAACAAAAATTGAATCAAAATTTGACAGGGGAAGCGGTAAGAGATGACAATGGCTTAATTTTTAACTTTATTTCAATTTGAACTTTGAGTTCTAATTCAATTAAAATGTTTATACCGATTCCAATTTTGAAGTTTAGATTTCATTTTCTATTCAAAATTTAGTATCATTCTACTAGCATCTTACGATCAGAAAATTCGCTGATGGGAGTATATAGGCCATATCAAACCCAAACAAAATCCCGTTATTGGTATGAATTCAACTAAAATGATATTTTATTCACCTGAGTACTTGTGATTTTCTTGTCGGACCCTTTCTTCACATGGAAAAGACGCGGTTCGTATTGCTCTGGTAGTACACGTCTAAAACCAGTGTCAGCACCGCCCTTTAGGAGCCTGCACAATTGACAGAAAACAACAAATAAATAGGAAAACAATTTAGGAGACTATAGTAGCTAATACAATCAATATCTTTATCATAATAAAGTTATCTATTGATGTGATACAGATTACAGATTACATAATTATTAATATTAGCAGTCGTAGTAGTAGCAATTTGTAGTCAAACAACAGTATTATTATTATTATCATTATTATCATTATCATTAATATTTTATTATTATCACATACATTTTACATGTATGATAATAGTGCAAGGTTTTGGGGTCTTTCAACGCCGTAAATTTTTGTTCCATGTACTGGAGCATATGAGAGATCCCAGATGGTTAGGATAGACTAAACCATAGCATATTAAAAGAGATAGTTGTGACATGCGCATCTTCACGTACACAAGCGGTTGAATCATGTTGCTCTTTCTTTGGTGCTTTGACGGACCAATCAGAAACAACTTCCGGGAACCTACCGGGGTAGTATTTCTCTCCAGTAGCTATATATGACCTGAAAGAAGGGAAGCTACCTCTTAGACATACATGATGGTTGCCATGCAACCCTGTAGCCAGGTGTTATAGCACAGGAAGTACAACAAAAACGGTACTTTATTCCTATCTTATTTGTACCAATACTGTGCACGATAGCCTAGTTATTGCTGTAACTGTTATTAGAGTTCAGCTTATATTGCATTGAATGACTTCTATACATGGCTTATTTTTTTTTTTTTTTTTTTTTTTTGTTTCTTCAAAGTTTAAAGACTCATCCAAATTAATAACCTTCATTGAGGTATTCGAGTGAAAAGGATTTGCTTTTGAATTATTCCTAATTACCATTCATGTCTTAACTGCAGTGGAGGCTGTCTAACAGTCAAATAGGCTTACAGGCTACGCAAGCCTTTTGCCCAATTAAATTAATATTTCACATGTACAATAGGAGCAACAAATTTCATTAAAGATTGCTCATCCCCCCTCTTCTTTCTCTCTCTCTCTCTCTCTCTAGGCTCTCTCTCTGTCCTCACTTTATTTCCCCTCTCTCTTTCCATTTTCTCTGACGTTAGCTCTTTTATTACAGAAAAATATGGTAGCGGCAAGTTTGAGATTTTGAAATGTTTTTCTCATCTGCTCTAGCTGCCAGTAGATTTCCAAAGTTCTCATTATATAAGTATAAGTAGTAGTAGTAGCATCTTCGCATTATAACAATTTTCATCATCATCATAGTCATGATTATCATCAATATTATCATCACTAGTAATCATTAGAAAGAAGCAAAAAAAAGATTGAACAAATAAAATCTTACATGAGGGATTCGAAATAGGACTTGAAGAGCGTACTTTCGTGACCTTGAACCTCTCTATGCTGAATGGGTTTATCATCCAAAAGTGTATCCAGCTCAACAGTCTTGTATGCTGCTGTACCATACTCATCCTACACATTTACAGAGAAGGTGGATTTTAAAGGAAAAGGTAAAAGGGGAAAAATGAATCCAAAGGCAAATTCAATACCCTATAACTTGTACATCCCACAAAAATGTTCACATTACGTAATACATCATACCACATTTATGTTTATGGTTTTCTATTTGAAGATCATTGAGAACTGGTCATGCGATTGCATGTGAAAGAAACAGTTAGGTTGTTAAGAAAAGTTGATTAAGTATACTCAGAAAATTCTGTGAGCAAATAGACCCAATCTTACTCAGAATCATTTGAAACATATTATGACAATGCACATAGATCATATTGGTTTATTCTTAATGATGATGAAAATAGTAATGCAGCACTTGAAAAAAAAAATATTTTGAATAACAACGTTTTCTTGCAGAGAAATTGTTTGAATAAAACATTCATAACACCCTAAGATCATGGATTGTACATCATGTACCCGTAAACTACACTTAGGTGGAGAGGGACAGCTGTAAATAAACTGCCTTGTCTCACAATATACACATGAGTAAGGATTTGATCACATACCCTGCTAAAACTATCAATTAGAATTGTACATCAGGGAATGAACTACAGCGGTGCTGACACTGGATAAAAAACTACCATTTTACAGATTTAACGAACCTGCGTGGAATATTTTCCAATCCAGAAGTGAACGTCATACTTCAATGCATCACCCTCTGGATCTTTCTATAAAAAGAAAAGGGAAGAAAAAAAAACTGATGGATAATTAGAACTCAAAGTTATTTATCGGTAAGGTCAGCTTCTTTCACACAGCATTATGTCTCATCAATCCTATTCCCATAATCTCCAGTGGCTTATCTAGACTTTATCTCAGGAGGGAAAAAACCTCACATGTTACTGTGATGCATATACTTCTAGATCTAGTATAAAACAACTCACTTTTTTTCAGGGCCTTAGTTTGCATTATCATGTAGGAGGGATCACCTTTTATGAATGCCATATTTTGAAACTATCATTATATTTCGTTGTTTCTTGACTTAAATGATTCCCAAATCTGTAAACTAAAACAAAACTAAAACAAAACTAAAACGTAAGTTCTCCCAGAGCTACTGTTCCCAATTTTCAGAACCACAAATTTGTGTACAAAGTTACTTAGAAGGGACTGTACGTCTGTACCTGTGATTTACAATTGTCTGAAAATCAGAGGTATCTATCAAGTCATGCTTCAATGAGCACGCTTTAACAACAAAATGACTACGTTTCAAAATTAAGATTATCCTTTCCTTAGTGTGATATGACAGACAGTCCAATTCACGACTGCCGGCGCTGTGTGTGTGCTTTAACTGGACTGTTTAATAATCTCTGTTTTTCTTTAAAGGGGAAGTCCACCCTGATATCAAGTTGGTTTAAATAAAAAGCAGAAAGATGAGGGAAACTTGTAAACTCTTGCACTCCAGAAATAAACAGCTTGGTCTTAATTAAAATAAAATGATGTCTGGATTCGAACAGATCCTTAGTTGCACTGACTTGACTAGGAGAAGCTCAATTTTTTTTTAACAGATCAAAATATAAGTGACATCGTAAGTAGGCTGAGGGTCATTTACACGATAAACAAGGGGTTATAACATGTACGTCAGGTGTGAATGAGCCTTAATTGTAAACTTACATAGGTATTGAGGATGATGTAAGAATCACCATTGAAGAACTCTCCATATTGGTCCTTCTCCCAATTGGTAACCTATTCATAGTGATAGCGAAGAGAATTAAAGATTATTATTTCTTTCATGAAATTCATATTGGCCCTTTATCTGACCTCTTAGACTTCTATTCATATCATGACTATTATTATCCTTTGTATTATCATCAAATACATGTAGACTACTTTCATCAACATAATCATCGTCATTATGAGTAGGCACATGGTCATCATCCTCATTATTTTTTTTTAATTATTTTTATTAGTATTAGTAGTAGAAGTAGTATTAGTAGTGGAAGTTGTAGTTGTAGTTGTAGTAGTAGTAGTAGTAGTAGTAGTATAGTAGTGGCAGTGGTAGTTATAGTAGTCTTGTAGTAGTTTTAGGGGTATTATATTAGGCCTAGTAGCAATGGTTGTAGTTGTTGAGGTGATGTTTGAAGTAGATTAGTATCTTAATAATTAATAATAAATTAAATACTATTTTCAAAATTTAGTCTGGACATAGTACCTTGAACTTGACGATCCGCCAAATCTGGAGGCCGACTTCCTGTCCTGCCCCCTCCCAGGCTGGTTCAGACTGTGCACTCTCCTTCTTCACTTTCTTCTCAGTATCCGAACCAAAGAGTGCGAGGTTCGAATCCTGCCAGTCATACTTCTTCGCCTTCTGCATGTTTGCTAGTTGTTTTAGAAGTTATCTGTACCACAAAGAAGATTGATTTTTATTCTCATTGTTGTGACAGGTCGAAATGTTTTTAAATCTATTTTTTTAAGGAGGTCCCTGAATGTCTCTGAATGATGAGATCCCTTTCGTGTACTTCTGAGGGGATCCCTAAAAGGGGAAGTCCATTTTGACCTTAAGTCAGAGAGGGTATAGGGTAATATAGAGAGAAAGGATTTTTTGCCACATCACAGGTTGAGAGGGATGAGCATAGACCATGCATCCACTCATGACTTAGGCGGTTTGATTTGCCAGAGAAGCTAACTCTGAGTAGAACTTCATACTTAAAAGTATTTCTGCAGCATCTATGAGGTCTTACTTCATCATTTGGTTGGAGATGGCATTTGGTTGGAGATGGTTCTAGCTAGTTGGTCTAATTCTATAGTCTCGGTGTCTCAGTTTCTCCTCGAGAGCTCAAGAGGGGGTTGATCCATCCTCAAAATAATACCACATGAAACTCTTAATGACTTTGTCGTGTGTCATTTGTGCCTGCTGTTACATTAGCAAGATATTTATGATTGGAAATCGAAATCAAATTTTGCGTTTTCCTAACGGTTTTCATAACACTACAGTCAATTGGGGAAAACGAGTATGGAAAAACCGGTCAAAGTTTTTTACTTTTATGAGGCACTTCTTGATCATTTTGGAGCGCAATTTGTTTATTAGGGCCTCAATATTACATCACATCACAGACACTGATAACACGTAGGACGTGCATCTCAGAGTTAACATTGTTAAACGGATACCTTTAACTCAACTTAAGTTAACATTTACACAAGAAATTTAAAAAAATCACCACACATTGGGTCTTTATATAAGATGAAACCTATTAGTATACACATAAAAAGGGGGAGGAAGGAAAATAGATGAACAGATGAAAAAGAGAAAGGGCGGAAGAAAATAAAGTGCCTGTACGTGAGTGTACGGTGCGTGCGTGTGAGGATGAGTCGAGTTGCAAATTGTAGTTGGTTTTGTTTGGAGTTTGGTTAGTATGGGAAGGGGTTCTAATTTGTTTTATATTATTTATAGCTAATTTCAATTTCGGAATTACGACCCTTCGGAATAACGAACATTCGGTATAATCAAGGAGTTTTAAGAGCCGGACCCAACTGGCAACAAATTATTCTTAAGCAGCTGCCGTTTTCTATACTGGTATACTGGTGTGCTGTAAACTGTGCTGTTACCTTTGATGTCCCGAGGTTCGAAGCCGCCAGTATCATTCGAAAGCTTGAGTAGTGATTTTGATCACAAAGAAATATCCTTTTTATTTCATTTTTTATTTGAACTAACAAGGGGAAAATCGAACAGATGATAAAATATGAATAGAAAAGCCTAATTGTGTCAAGAAATTTGCTTGCATTGTTTGATAGCAGCTTTAATTTGTGAAAAATAGTGAAATGTTAGTCCTAAACCTGCAATTTCACACTTTTCCGATTACTTCCTGCTCACAAAAATAAAAAGTGAATTTGTTTATGTACAGTTCTTTATGATGTTATATGTCAGATAAGTGCCCACACATGCCCAGTCGAGTAATTTTGATTAATATTTCAGGAAATTTTGCTCCATTTCCATACGCTTGCCTCCTATATATAAGCACTGTGTACTGCGCGTATTATCAGAAGAGTGGTAGCGAAACGTAGTTACAAAAACATATTTCCCTTTGAAAGTGGCCTGTTAGTTTGCAGCTGGGCTGAAATTTTTTATCTACGCATCTGCAAGGAAAATCCAGTTAAGCATATGCCTGACATATTTTCTCCTGGCGGCATCGAAGATGGTACAAAGGGAATGAGCTAGATAGGACTCCATCTCTTAAAACGTCTTGGTATAATGAAGAACCGGTGTGATCGGTCACTTTAAATATTGAACGGACAAGACTCTAAGGGCAGGCGAGTGTCCACTTTCTTCGCAATCATGGAAGCTATGCATTCTCCATCGGTCACCTTATCTAGTTACAGATAATTATCACCCAAGGGTTCGAAAATAACATTCTCAGATACTCCCCAACGTTTGTGATGCACAAGCTGTTTCCAAAGTATGTCTGTTCACAGGGGCGTACGCAGGATTTTTTCGAAGGGGGAGGGGGTTAAAATTTGAAAATTTCGCAACGACTCAGCCAGCCGCTGAATAAGGGGGAGGGGGGAGAAGCACGTTTGTTTTCCCCCAGAAATTTGGTCAACCGATATTTCGTTCAGTTTGGAGGGGGGGGGGGGGGGGTAAGGTCACCTTTTTGGGTCGTAACCCTCTTCTTCTTTTTTTAAACGTAATACAAAGTTTTGGTATGGAGTCATGAATTTGGTTTAAATGAACATATTGGAAGCGTATGCGATTTTACAATATTCAATGATCGTTGTTGCGGTTGAAATGGAGTCTAAAGTGATGAAATTGTTAATAATAAACTCTTTATGTTGTATAGCGCCCTCTCAAGACTGATATTACTTTAGCTTTAAAACAATGTTTCTTTACTACAATAAGACCGATTTGCTATTCCCATGTGGAAACTGTATATCAGAACTGCATATTCTGAGATTTTCATGGTCCCAGTTACCACGGAATGGCCTAAGGTGCTATTTGAAATATTTGAAATTTACCGGGAGCACCGATAGATTTTTGATTATTCAATTTCTCGTAAGCATAACATTTTTAGGGGCTAAATTTTCTAGTGCTTGTAATACACCAACAGGGGCATCCACATATATCAACATTTTAAAGAAATATTGTCCATCCAATTTTCAAAATTCCCCAAAACTTTGCATTACCTTTAATGTTGTTCATATATAAATTTGTTGTTTATTGTTTTGTTTTCTTTTTGTTTGTTCGTTCTTTTTGGTGGTTTTTCTCCACCTTCCTTAAATTTGAGTTCCCCCTCGCGATACACTACCAGAGAACTAACTTTTTTCTCAGGGTAAAGTGAAATTCAATGCTTGGAAACATTCGAAGTAATGATTACTATCAATTACAAAACACTTAAATACAGCCCCGGCATAGCATCTGAAGAGCTCTCCGAACGCTGCTGATAATGTATGACATCTCAGGTTGAACATGATCTGCGCAATTAAACAGACGATGTCCCATGACATCTCACATTTTCAGTGCCTGTTTTGTCATCTTCTCTTCAGTTATTTCTCTTACTTCATAACCATCAGGCTAAATGTTTAAAGGGCCACGCTAACTCAACTAACATAGCCTTTTAAAGCATAAATACACTTCTACTTATCAATATTCCAGCCTCTGATTTTTCAGAAAATCTCTGTATTGACCAGAAAATGATAACCATACATTTTTCAGTTCTCACGCTTGCTGGGCTACGCCCCTCGAAAAAGGGTAATACGGCCACGTGGCAATGAGGACGCATTTGACGTCATGTCCGATTTGTCCTACAACTAAGGATCTTACAATTTCATTGTAAGTCATAAATGAGTTACCAGTTTCTAGTGAAACGTTATCTGCCATATTTGTGATTTTCTTTGAATGGGCACTTTACTACAAATTAATATGATTGCGTCATCTTTACAAATAATTATGTATGGCTATCTCCGTGTATATTTATTCCTTAATTTCCTGTAGATCTATTTTGTGCCTCTGTCTCTCTGTCTCCCCCTCTCTCTCTATCCATCTCTTCTTCTTTGTCTTCTTTTCTTCTTCTTCGTCTTCGTCTTATCAATCGTCATTATCTTCTTCTTCCTCCTTTTCCCTTTATTGCCTCCCTTACATAAGGTCGCTATGTGTCTTCGTTCATCACTCTTTCCCCTTCCTCTTTCTCACTCAATTTCTGTCTTGTCCATCACCGTCTCTTTGACCTCTCTGACCCTCACCCCTTCTCTCTCTCTCTCTCTCTTTCTATTTATCTATCTCTCTCTCCCACACACACACAGTGATTCTCTCTCTCTCTTTCTTTCTGTCAACCGCCCCCTCTCCCTCTTTTACTTTCTCTCTTTTTTTAAATGTCTCTAGTTATTCCCTGCATGAGAGACTCCGTAGAACACACACACACACACACTCTTTCTCTCTCCTTCTCCTTCTCTCTCTCTCTCTCTCTCTCTCTCTCTCCTTATCCTTCTCTCTCGTATTTTCTTGTACTAAATCTTGACGTCACACCCTTGCTCTCAACGTTATTTGTGTGGCGAAATTAATATGTTACATTACTTTGCGAGGCTCAATCTTGATCTACATTAAATCTGAATGTGGCAGATCATCAATCGATGTCAAGAACCTCGTCACACTGAATTTGATGTATGGGCCTACAATTTGGAGGGGCGATTGCTAAGCAGGAGAGCAGTGGTCTCGTAACAGGGAGGTCTAGGGTTCGAAACCAAGTCGATTCAGCATTGCCTTTTGGTGAGGCATAAATCCTCATTATCGAGTCCATCGGAGAGGCCTTTGAGCAGTTGGTACCCTGGTTGCTAACATTTACAAGCATACCCATGAATTCTTAGCAGACACGTAAAACAAACGAATCAACCAACCCTGATACAGTAACCAGGTAGACATGTTCACATAACATAGACCACATAACTGCAGGTTGGCCTCATTCACAGATTAAACGATAAATAAAACAGGGACAGATACTTAGCAGAAGAGAGAGAGAGAGGATTTAAGAAAGAAAAAACAATTAACAAAGAAACAAAGGTAGGACGGGAGAAAGAGACAGAGATGGCAAAAGAAGCGGGGAGAGAAACAGAGAAACGAACAATAAAGATGTTTGAAGAGTAAGTGAGAGAGAAGATGTGCAAGAGATATACAAGAAAATGAATAAAAGACGAAGCTGATAACGTTTAGAATGATAACATAGAACATTGAAGAAAGGTGGAGAGAGAAAAGGGCATAGACAGACATAAAGACAGACAAAAGCATAATCCACAGGCACCCACTCTATTTTGACACTAAACAAAAATTTCATAAAACCGTAACTAATTAGCCTTGAGCCGAGCCTAATTGTGTCAGTCTCTGTCTAGACATGTACTGGGTGCAGTTTATAGT